CTCTCTCTCTCTCTCACACAAGAATGAATCTTCCTCTTTATCGAGAAAGATTCGTTCTCGTTGGAAAGGTCTGATTTCGTTTTTTTTTTTTTTTTTTTTTTTGGCAGAATGTTGTTGTTTGTTTGTTTGTTTGTTTGTTTGTTTGTTTGTTTTTTCGTTGTGTCCTACCAGTTGTCCGAGGATCGGTAATAAAGTCCGAGGATCGGGAACGACCGGGCTACCGGTAGCCCGAGCCACGGGCCTTAACAGCCGGTCGGTACTGGTGGTTTAAGCAAAGCCACTCAATTCCTTGAAACAAAAGGTTTAGCATTTAGGGTTTAGGTTTTTTACTACTTCCATGTTTTGTTTTTGTTTTTTTTAATTACCAGGTGATTTCCCCATTTTCGCTCGTTTACCCCTGTCTTTTCTATGCAAATTCCGTTGACAGTTGTGAAATGGGCCTAGCTTTTTTTGCGTATTACTGTTGGAACTTTCGACAGTACTTTACTAGTACTTTGTTTTTGTCACTTTCTTTTCGTTTTTGCTGCGCCGTTTTTCCACGCCGATTCCATATGAGCTCATGACAGGTTTTCTAGCATTTTTTGAAAATGTTAATTTTACCCTTTTTCTATTTTCACCTTTAAGGTAGATCAGAGAGCACCCTGCTGCCTCTCGGCGTACTTCATTTGCGATCATCAAACCGATCCAGGGTTTAGGGATTAATGGTTTACTGGCTTAGTAATATAGTTTTTCTTTTTAAAGTTTTTTTTCCCACTTCTCTTCGTTCTCTGCCCAACCGTTTCTCTTGTTTGGCAGAGCCAATTTCGAACTCTCGCCTGGCCTCGCCTAGCTAAAAAATTCAAATTTTTCTCAGTGTTGCAATTTATGATGCTGCCATGATTTAAACCTGGGTAGACTGCTCTCTGCAGCAGTGCACGCTTGGTTCAGGTTGTTCGGACCGATCTTTTTTTAGTTGTGCAGTCCAGGTACGCACAATTGTTCAAGAGCCGGCACTTAGGTTTATGATGCATTAGTTTCATTTGTGTCCCCTTTTTTAAACCACCAATACACCCGGGCTTGAGGGTGCGCCACTGCGCGCCAAGCGAAAGATGGTTAATGGAAGGCCCAAATGTCGGGGGTTAATACCCTAAAGCACATACATATAAAAAAAAAAAAAAAAAAAAAAAAAAAAGCGAGGGAAATATGGCAGTTTCGGTGAAAAATTAGTTGAAAATGACTCCACCTATATTAACCATTAGTGTCAATCAAGCATGAATAATGGATACAAGTGTGCTTGGCATAAATAATGATTGTGACTTCAACTCAGTAAATCCTCCCACTCTGCACGCACACATGCGCAAGGATGAAAATGTGGTCAGATTCAGGGTTTCAGTGTTTTGGCATTTTTCACTTTTTAAAAGAGTTCCTGGGAGGTCACTACAGAAAGACGACTCGATGACAAGGAGGTTGTGGAGGAGCTGTCATGGGTAAATGGCTCCACCAGCAGCAGCCGTAGCTGCCCTGGACTGGAGGCGGTGTGCACAAAGATTGGGGGACCACTGACCAGGGAAGAGGACAACGAT